AACATAATAAAAGAGAATTTACAGGTCACCACACGTTAATTAACAAACTATTGTGTGTCAATAAAAGCATTTAATTAAAAGCGAGTTTCATGGATGGCTGGATGTGAGTTATGACCATGAATATAAAACAGGCTAGGCTACAACACCCAGAATGTGTTACTGTACATGGTGATGCTATCAACCATAAATGTTCTGATTACATTTATTGTTTGCAAATGAAATCATTTCTAGGATGTTCTCTCAGTTGCTTTCATTGGAACAATGTTTATTTCAGGAAATTGAGGCCCATCTTTTTCCTTGTGTATGCGCCTGCTAAAGAACATATGACATTATTAACAGACTAAATTAACAACTATGTTATTTGTGAACTAAAAACCCCTACCTTCTCATATTTTCCATATCATCCACAGTTTCTGGCAGATCAACACCTCTCATTTCTGGTAAAAGCATCACAAGTCCACTGTACAGAACTGACATGGCCCCTGTATATGGGGACAGAGAGAAACACGAGTCGATAAGAAACACAAGGAAATTATTTGTGTTTCCACTTCTGAAATTGAAATGACTTCTCACCATAGACAAAGAGGGGAAGCTCTTGCCAAATACTAGCTAACCTGTACAGAATAAACGGAGCAACAACTGCCCCAATGTCACTGGCTGAGGAGCACACAGATACGCCTAAGTTTCTGTAACACACAAGAAAATAAGTAAATTATACTTACAAAAAAGAGAAACGTTTAATGCCTATTTAAAGAAATACTACCTAGATAAAGAAATACTAATCTAGAAAAGGAAGACAAACTTCAAGGCGATGCTCAATTGGTTTAAACATTAATATATAGATATAGATATAGGTGTTAAAAAATATGGTAACACTAGTTTAGGGACCAATTCTCACTATTAACTAGTTGCTTATTACCATGCATATTGCTAGCATATTGGCTAATTATTAGTACTTATGAACAGTGTTGGGGAAAGTTACTTTTAAAAGTAATGCATTACAATATTGCGTTACTCCATAAAAAAAGTAACTAATTACGTAACTTGGTTCCCTTTCAGTCGGTCACTCTCTACGTCACGTCGGATGACC